TAGCATATCGGGGATATGCCATTCTATAATTTTTTCCTTATTCTTATCATACCGGTATGCTTTGTGGCGAACTGGCATTGAACCTCCGGTGTCAATACTATGGTTAGTAACCTGAGTAAATCCTGGAATATCACTAAATAACGAAGCAAATTCACTTACCACTTGTCGGATTCTTCCTTGCTCGTCATTAGGCAGGTGGTCAAGATTTAACATCGGCGGTTCAGCCTTTTCTTTTCTCCACGAACTGGTTTCATCGTCAGCTTAAGGGACGCTTCATTAAAATCCAGCGTTGCTTGTGCCTCTGAAAGAAAATCTATTCCTAAATAATATGTGCTTGCAGATTCTTTACTATGAAAAACATCACCTTTACTTGTGTTCGTCCTTGATACGGACATACAGCGGTAATTTTACCTATACACTTACATTTTTCTCTCCTTGCGCCGCTAACACTGTCGTATTATCCGAATTATATATGCGGTATTTCCGAAAATACTTCCTAAAAAATCTTCTGCCACACAGGAACACTGCGCGGCCTGTATCCAGGAGTGCGGTGGCTGGGATATTATTCACCAACACTTCAATCTTCGGAAGAGTCAATTTTTCACCATTAGTGTATTTAACTTGAAGGAAGAGGGGTTTTCGTGGCCTTCGGATTTCCGCACCCTCCCGTCAGCAGAAATCCGTTTTAGTTTAAATTATTTTTTTTTCCGTGCTTTCCTTCTTTTTCCACTGGCCTTGAGACTTTTTTCCTGGATTGCTATTGAACTGTCGACGTTCGCCGGCTGTTTTTGAATGCTCGGGTTTCCTTGCCCACTGATTCGCTTTGCTTCCGTAGCCGTGTGCTTGAGTTTGCTGTAGTCTTGGCGCACCAAATTGGTTTCGCTCGCTGTTGATATTCGGCGTCTTCTTTCAATGTCCGCCGTTCTTCTACTTTCAAACTGGATTGCTAGCTCAAATAACTTTTCCAGTGTAGTCGGATTTCTTAATTCAATAAAGTCTTGCACTTGGGGCAGTAACCTCGGCAAAATCACTTGAATTATCTCAGGATCCGGACGGTTTCCATACAAGAGTTTGAAGACGTGAATTTTTCTTAAAATAAAACTTGAGAGATTTTCGATTCTTTGTTGATATATGCTGAAAAGTTCCGTTTCTAATTTCGCACGATCCCTTACAACAGGGAAGGCTTTTAGTAGGGCAGTCTTGAAATTTTCGTTAGTATAGGTGGGACTTCCTGCTTGACCCAAGAGACTTCTGCCTATACATTTGAACCAATTAAGCGCTTGGCCCCTCAAAGCGCTGGTAGCTAAGGTAACTTTTTGAAATTCGTGCACGGGGTGAGCATAAAGTGGTCATCCAATTTTTCCAAAAATCTGGTTACCGGTGAGTTTCCATTAAATGTTGCTTCTGGTTTCATCGAAGCGCGCATGGTCTGGACGATGTAACCAAATCCTTCCAGAGCGGCAGCGGGCATTTCTGGATTCTGAGCCGCTTCTGCAGGCAGCACAGGTTCTTCTTGAAACTCGGCCATGGTTATTCTTCTTCGTTGGGCGCCACTATCAGGTTCAATGTTCCGTCTTACTTTCTTCGGGAACATGCAAGGACCTGACTCGGAACAGAGAGCTTACTAAAGCTCTGTTCAATAACTGTGGGAAGTAGACAGGAAACACAAGAAGGGTATACAAAAAACCCTTTATTTTTCTCTATTTACAATAACTTCCGTACTTCGGAATACAAAGACCCACTACTTGTGGTCTAAACGTAAAAATATAAAAATAAAACTAAACTCTAATTTAACTTAAAAATAATAAACGTGGAAGATTGGCCTTATATTAACAGGAAGCCGTATGTAGTACAGAGAACTGTGAACACTATGTGTCCGAAAACAAATGTGTCCGAAAACAAATGTGAGCTACTATATATCTGCGAACCATAAAATAGTACCTACAATATGAGGCATATCGCAATTAAACATGGATATACTTCAGAATGAAGCACGAGCAATATATAATGAAACAAATAATTACGATATTACTTAAATAAATCTTATGCAAAAGCTGTCATCCAGTACATTTTTTCATATACTCTTGGATGGAAAACCGTACGTAACTTAAAATGGCGATACCCTACTTTATAGTTAGTAAGCGATAAAGCATACTATATATTAATATAACAAGAAACAAAACTTAAAATAGACCTTATCGTAGTTCTCAATACAAAAATTAAAATGAGACACTCTTAAAAGAACTTGATTTTAAAAAAATTGTATTTTAACACACGTGCAAAAGAAAATCGCTTTTAACTGCTTACCAATATCGAGATCCGGGGCCAAATTTTCGAGGGTGAGAAAACCAAATATTCTGATGACCCATAATATATGTTAAGGTTTTTTCCCTTAGAAAGAGAACTTCAAAACTCAATATACACGAGAATAAAAAGTTTAAAACTCGCAAATGCAAGCCACCGTAATTTACTCCAGATCACGTTAATTCACTAATTAAAGAAGCAAAAAAGAATACGGAAGTAGCACAGAGAAAACAAAAACTGTATTACGACTTGAAACGACGGGGAGTAACTTATAAAGTAGGGGATGAAGTATTAAAAATTAAGCATTCACTTTCTTCAGCACCAGAAGATAAAACTGCCAAATTTTTTCCATGATTTGAAGGACCATATGTCATAGAAAAAATAACTCACGCTGTAGTAGTGTTAAAAGCCTCTTGATAACTTTAAATACGTTTAAAGTTATCAAGAGGATTAAACCTCTGGCCTGGAAGGCAACCAGCAATTGAGTAAAACTTCTAAGGTAAGCGGCCTGCTTCGACTAACTGCTTCCTCTCTCTCGCTTGGCAAAAAGCCCACAACTTAAATACTTTGGCGTTCGCCAGACAAACTTTGCATAAATACATTAACGCTTATAATTCTGGCCGGAAGTAGAAAATAAGAAGTGATAGTAAAGATTTAAAATAAAATAACGTTAGTAAAACTTAAGATCCTTACAACACGAAGTGCTAGAGTGGAGATCAAAGTGATTAACTTGATAGCAATCACCTTCTATTATCTTCCATAACTAACGATAAGTTTAAAAAAAACGAAAAGCGTGTGAAGCGATACAAAACAACACGAAGAAGCTAATGTCACTTGAAAGGAAACGTCACTTTCGCCAATCTGAGCGATAACTGATTCTTGTTTGGCTTTCAGCCTGTTTGCCAAGTGAAGATGGTAACCCTATTTCGCCAAAGGCAGTTTCTCAGAACTGTTGCTGCAAACGTTTTGTTCCGGCAACAAACAGCTAATGTGATAACGCTTTTAGATACTACTGCGTTCTAGAATAAAAATAATTTTTGGGTTATTAATTTTACTCAAAAGCAATTGGCAATAATTTATAAAATCGTCTGCAGTATTTCTCCCCAGTTTGTTTTGGAATTTTTGTGTTTTTTAGTTCTGTGCAGCCATGAATGCTAAACGAAAAGAAACTTTGCCTGATATTCGAAAATTAGTTATTAATTTGCATACTGAACGTGGAAAATCTATTAGAGAGACTTCTGAAACAGTTAACTTGAGTCATTCAACAGTTTTCAATATCATTAAACGATATAAAAAGAATCATATGATTCAGGATAACAAGAAGACCTCGGCCGACCATCAAAGCTATCCAAAGGAATAAAGCGAATTATCGTTCGGAAATATTAAAAAAAAACTCCAAGAATGAGTGCTCCTGAATAGTTGCTGTCTGATTTACAAGACATTATATGGAGTAATTGTTAATCCTGAGACCTATTATAAGAGTAATTAGATATGCTGGATATCACGGTAGAGCAGCCAGGAAAAAATTCTTCTTGAAGTGAAAAGAACAGAGACAACTCAGACTGGCTTTCGCAAAATTCCAACATAAATAGGAATTCTGATTACTGGAATGAAGTTAATATTTGCTGGATGAGAGTAAATTTAATATATTTGGCTCTGACGGTAGAATCTTGTTGTGGAGAAAACCCAGGGAAGAATTTCGCAAACAGGACTTGGTGCCAACAGTAAAACATGGTGGAGGAGGAGTTATGGTATGGGGGTGTATGTCGTCCGCTGGTGTTGGTAAATCTTGTTTTTATTGACAGTATAATGGAATCAGGCACAAGTATGTTGAACATTTTAAATCAAAATTTGAAATCTTCAGGCACGAAAATCGAACCTTCGTAACGATTTTAAATTCTACCAGGGCAATGACTCCCAAGCACACTGCTTTGAACGTTAGAGTTCTGGCTGCTGTATAACTCTCCTGGAATAATAAAAACACCACCAACAATCTCCAGACTTAAATCACATAGAGAAATATTTGGCAAGCAATTGGAATCAAGAATTCGCAAACACCCAATTTCTTCAAAACAACAATTAAAATCGGTGCTTCAAGAAGAATGGAGTAAAATCACTCCAGAAATCACAAAAAAATTAGTGGAATCCATCCCAAGAGAAGATTAAATCATGTTTTAAAAGTAAAGAAAATCCAACAAAATTTTAAAAACCTTTTAAAAGTAAATTTTTGGATAATTATTTGATGGAAAAGTAGTGTCCCATCACTTATGTGAGCCATTTTTTGCTCCGTTCTAAACAACTGTATTTTTTATTAAATTAAATTTTTAATACTTTGAGAAAATGTATGTTATGTAATAATTTTTACTAAATTTAAGTATGAAACACATCCACAAAAAATTTTTACATGTTATTTAGTTTATTTTACTACAGTTTTCTTTTAAAAAGCACAGTGTAAAGTGTCCCATCACTTTTGTGAGACACTGTATACTCGATCAAAGTGTGGAAAATCCTTTTGAACCACCTTGTATATAAGCACATGTTAAAAATTATCTTTACATGCATGAAGCCATAAATTTCTCAGAAACGGAAATTATTATTTTATACATTTATTGGGAACGATACATTACATCAGAGTACATGATGTTCTTTGTACATAGTGCTCAGTGAATAATTAACGTCAGCACATTCGCCTGCTCAACTTATCAGTAAAGCTGGTCGATCTTTGCAACGTGATCTGGAGTAAATTACGGTGGCTTGCATTTGCGAGTTTTAAACTTTTTATTCTCGTGTATATTGAGTTTTGAAGTTCTCTTTCTAAGGGAAAAAACCTTAACATATATTATGGGTCATCAGAATATTTGGTTTTTCTCACCCTCGAAAATTAATTTGGCCCCGGATCTCGATATTGGTAAGCAGTTAAAAGCGATTTTCTTTTGCTTGCACGTGTGTTAAAATACAATTTTTTTAAAATCAAGTTCTTTTAAGAGTGTCTCATTTTAATTTTTGTATTGAGAACTACGATAAGGTCTATTTTAAGTTTTGTTTCTTGTTATATTAATATATAGTATGCTTTATCGCTTACTAACTATAAAAGGAGGGTATCGCCATTTTAAGTTACGTACGGTTTTCCATCCAGAGTATATGAAAAAATATACTGGATGACAGCTTTGCAAATAAGATTTATTTAAGTAATATCGTAATTTTTGTTTCATTATATATTGCTCGTGCTTCATTCTGAAGTATATCCATGTTTAATTGCGATATGCCTCATATTGTAGGTACTATTTTATGGTTTGCAGATATATAGTAGCTCACATTTGTTTTCGGACACTTGTATGTTTTAAACTTATGTACTGGACCAAAAATGTATTTTTTCCCCCTGTTTAAAGCTTTGCTTACTACAAAATAAATATCAAAATATTCCTTGTAATAAAATAATTATTCCAAACGTATTCGTGGGTAACTCCTATAATACAGACACTAGGAACTTTATTCTTGCATATGAAGTTTCATGTCATCATTTTTGTTTTAAATGACAATGATATTACAGGAATTATTGTCTGCAGTTGGAAATTATTACTTATTTAACAAGATATATTAACAGCTCCATAGCTGAGCTGAACATAGCAAGACACTATAAACTAATGTCAGTTTCTGTGAGAAATTTAGATATTCATCATTTTAAACATTGTGAAAATATTTAGAAACGTCCTTGATCTAAAGCAGTGGTCTTCTTTCCAAACCCAGAGTTCCATCACTCAAAATAAAAATTTTAAAAGAAAATTACAGAGCACTTGCATTAGTTGACTAGTATTAACTAAAAAGATGTTAAGATACATTTTTTATCTTTGAAATGCAAGCACATTCCTGTCACTCCTAGAGTATTACATTTTCTTTAGTGTTATAATAAATAATTCAGTACTTTAGGTGAAATATCTTATTTTAAGATATATTGTCCTACGGGTTGGATGGTGTTTCCTGAAAAAATCTTGTGGTTCTAAGTGTTCTGCGAGCCCACAGAGATTGGAGATCACTAATCTAAATCATTCTACCATCTTTGATGTTATAAAATGATGGGAATGTTGAAAATGTACATTAAGTCTGGACCACATTCCAAGCTAATAACCAAGGAGTTGGAGATTTATTCTAGGAGAAGGGAAAAAAGTACAGGATATTCATAACTAAATAGTGTTTTTGACAATAAATGTGGTTTTCTTATTAAAAACATGTCAAAGTCTAAAAATTTTGAATTATGCATTTGAAATTATATTCCATTAACATGTTCCTTTCATTTAAGTGAAGATAAATCTTACTTCCCAGTTCAAGTGCAATGTAAGATTATAAAATACATTTTGGATTATACGGCCTCAGACTAAAGGGAAGCACTACTGTAGAAAAGCTGGTAAATATAAACACTGCCAAAAATGGCAATAATAGTTTAAACTTTGTTACTCTGGATTCATCTTGTTTGGAGGTAGCAGCTGTTTCTTTTTGCTTTCTTATAGTGCTGTTCGTAATTTTACGTGTTTTAGCATCGCATTTATTATTCGCCTTTGCACATGTAATTTATTCTTTACTTGTGTACTATTGTTTTGTTTGATTTCTGTACTATCTTTTCTGAACTTATGCTTCTTTCCTAAAAATTTTTGAAATTACCTTAAATTTCATGTTAAAAAAAATTATTTTGGAGGCTCAAGAATTTCAATTTTTAAAAAAAAAAATAGAATTCTTTTATTTTTAGTGTAGGTCATTTTAACTGCTCAGTACTTTTCTGTTGAAAAGAAAAAAAAAATAGGTATTTGTTTATCCACAATGTCGAATGTAATGCATATTATGTGGGTGACAAAAAATCTATTTAAAACATTGATATTTGGAACGTAAAAGTAGCAAAAACACTGTCAGGGACATCTAAAGATATATACAGTACAAAGTCCGTAATCCAGACTTGTAGGAACTTCAGCGATTCCGGATTAGGGGTTTTTCCGGATTATAGATCATCAATTAAATCTGGAATGGCATAGAAATAATACAATGAACAATGAACACCGTAATTTAACGAGAATAAAAGAACAATTATGATCTAAGGGTATTAAATTACTTTATTAAACATTTCTTTCAATGTAAGTTGCTTCATTTTTTGTGCTAATACTTTCACTTTAATTCTATAAACAGACATAATTTCTTGTTCAGTTTCAAGTCCTGTAATTGGTGTGTTGAGAATACTGACTAACTTGTCAATCGAAATTATTTCGTTTCGTCTCTGTCACTTTCTTCACTATCGGAAGAGCACATGGGTAAACGCTTTATGCGCATGTGTAAGTTTGTGGCTTTGAGGGCCGGATTATAGATCATTCCAGATAATGGACAGATAGTTGTATGTGATATTTTGACATTTTAAAGTTCTGAATTTGCATTGTATAAAATTGAAAATAATAGGACGTGGAGAGCCCATGGTTAAGTGAGAATAGTATTTAACTGCCACTAGAGAAGGTGACATTCTTGCACTTTTGCGTGCGATGAGAAACTCTGCTGATCTAAGCGAATTTTACAGACGGCAGGTTGTGAGGGCACACTGACTCAGAATGAATATATCTGTAACTGCACAACTGGTAGGTTGTTCATGATTTGCCATTGTAAGTACTTATGCAAAATGGATAAATGGCTGTGAAACTAGTAGTTGACGTCAGGGTACATCAGCGAAGAAATAGGATGTCAGAATTGCGGATGGTATGATAAAATAACCTAAAAGATATCTAAGATAATTTGTTTTTTATAGTAAAGTTAGAATCATTTAGAATTCATAAAGCCAGAAGTTAGAAAATGCTAATTAAAGTATTAAGTGATGTTAGTAAATGCAGGTCAAAAGTCGTTGAGTGTGTGGATAAAGACAAGGTTAGGCGAACGCTGGTAATTTGAATCCAATAAGACATAAATACTATGAACGCAAGACTAAAAAGAATGCATAGCAGATACAATAAGAGAAGGTTAACATAAATCGTAAAGGAATTATAATAAATATTACATAATATATACATTCAGTTGGAAAATGGGCCTGTTCATATTTGCTAGGTCATTGTAGTCATAATTAGTTTTTTGTCTTTCATGAAAGGTTTTAGCAAGTTTATAATAATATGAGCGTAGTTCCATACCCAGTTCTTCATGATTTCTATTGTTGTGGATATACTACTATGCTTTAACTAATTTGCCTAGAATTTTGGCAAGTCTCTAATTTTTTCGTATAAGCCCAAACTGGACTAGCATAACATAGTACAGTACAAAGTCTTTAATCCGGACTCGTCGGGACTTCAGCGATTCCAAATTACGGGTTTTTCTGGATTACAGATTAATTTAAATCTGGTAAGATGGCATGCAGAAATTATAAAAATTAAAAATATGAAGCCGTAATTTATGAAATAAAGAGCAATTATAATCTAAGGGACAAAAAACACAAAAAGCTTAATTTATTTGTTTACTTATTAAACATTTCTTTCAATGTAAGTTGTTTAAGAGCTAGTTTTAGTGCTATACTTTCTCTTTAATTCTGTAAAAGACATAATTTCTTGTTCAGTTACAAAAGTTCCGCTGTTCAAGTCTGTAATTGCCGTGCCAGATATCGACTAACGGTCAAATTAAAATTTTTTCGTTTTCACTAAACTCTGTCACTTTCTTCATGCCTTTACCATTTTTTGCAGCAATTCCACTTTTGTTTGATTGACATCGAAACATGCTTTCGCTTTGTAGATCCTTTGGCGGCTCCAGAATCGGAAACTCTTCGTGGCGCGCAATGAACTGGAAGTTGATCTGTTAGCACTATACTTATCTTCAGGGCAGATGTTTTTATTTTATTCGTCTTATAATTCCTTACTAAATGTAGTATTTCATCTCGATGTAGTTTGTCTTTGATATGATTTAAATCAAATTCCTCGTCATTAAAAATACACGAATACACATCAAATAGTGTTTTCTGGTTGCAATTTTCTAATTGGACTATGCGTAATGTTAGCTTTACCACAATGAGCCAATAAGAAACAAAAATAAAGTTTTTTATTTTGAGTACCCTTAGATATAATCTCCCAAATAAATTACGGTTTCATATTTTTAATTTTATAATTTCTACATGCCATCTTACCAGATGTAAACTGATGATCTATAATCCGGAAAAACCGATGCTGCGGAATCGCCAAAGTCCCGACGAGTCCAGATTAAAAAGCGTTATATTATCAGGCATAGAATAATATGTTCAATTCAATTTATTCTGTTCTCATTTGCTCATAGGTCCTTATTTTTTTCATTAATGGTCCTTAAAAGTACTTAATTTCCATGTGCCAATATGTGTACGAACCCTGCATATAGTGAGGGAGGTCAAAGACCTGATTTCCTGTACTCAATTAAAAACAAATGCTCCCCAACGTTGATTTCGCCGTATCCAACTTAAAGCCGTCGAGGAGTCAGTCCAACAGTGAATACGAACTTCATGTAGGCCAATATCATTAATAACTGTAGACCAATATTACAAATAAGAAGTTCTAATTGAGGAATCGTAATAGGTTTCAAAGGCGCTACTCTCGATCTTGCGTGTACCAAACTAACCTTTACCTTTTTGCCACTCTGTACTCTTAAAAAGACGCATGCACCATACGCACTTTTACTACTGTCACAAAAGATATGTATACTCACAGCTTCATTAATAGATTTGAGACCTACCCATCTAGGTATTTGGATACTGGATTGCAAGTACAACTTTTTACTTCAAAACCTAAACTTTTTTGTTAATTCATCGGGAAGAACATTGTTCCATTTAGCCTTAAATTCCAAGTTTCCTGTAAAATTAGTTTTGGAATCAACATCACAGGAGCCGTATGCCCTATAACGTCAAACACCTGATGAGCTACTGCTAAAACTAGTCTTTTAGTAACTGGGTCATCCAATTTTATATCTTGACTTATTTTGCAAGATAAGGTATCCGTAACTGTATGCCATACAAGGCCCAAAACAGACACATCTCCTTCCGTGGAGGAATCTTTCTCTGGCACAACAATCTTCTATTGGATTTCCAGGATTTCCAAAGATATTTGTGACTTCTTTACAAAATTTCTCCCGCTGAATGACTTAAGCTTTCAGGGAACTACACTCAAATGATATTGTATTGTAGCGGCCAATAAATACGGACTACATGTAATACCAAAAACTACCCTTCCATGCCGATACAGTTCAACTTGTTTTTGATTATCCCTACTGAACCACATAAATCTAAAAAAGTCTCGATCTTTTTTCCTTATAGATATTTGCAAGAACGCTTTTTCTATATCTAAAGTGACACCAATATAATTCTTGCAAAACTGATTAAGAATCGAAGGTATAATTTCAATTAAATTTGGTCCAGTAGATAAACAATCGTTCAATGATGGGTAACCAGGCGAATGAGAACTTGCGTTAAACACTGGTCTTATACTCGTGCTACTATTTTCTTTAACAACCGCTCTATGAGGTAAATAATGTACACCCTTATATTTATTCTTATCCGGTACTTTTTCAATTATCCCGAGTGCTAACCAGTTCTGGAAAACGTCTCCGTAAGCGTCAAAATTTCCCGTAGTCATTAATTTTCTTTTAGTACTTACAAGACATTTTTCTGCTATCACATTTGTTTTTTTCGGGGTAAAAGCGAGCTATCCGACACCTAAGGTAATGCTACTTTGTACCTTCCTTCTGAATTTACCGTAAGAGTCTCTTAAAAATATTTTCACGTATCTTCCTGTAACTGAGTTTTGGTTTTACTTATGGAAGGTTCACTAATACCCAAAACATCTAACTTCCAGAGATCACTTATACATTGACCCTTCACTAACAGAGAAGAAATTAGGAGGGATGCAGTATTTATCGTAATTGGCTCAGTGCCAGTAAATTTACCCATAACAGTCCAGCCTAACTGCATATGCACCGCGTTAACGCCACACGTAAGGGGAACAATTTTTCCAGTTAGCAACTTAATTGATTTCCAGTTAGCAAAATTTGCACCAATTAGTAATTTTATCTCTTTATCAGCCTTACATGTACCATTTTCTAAATCACTTAATTTGGTACCACGTAACTTAAGTTCGCGTAATCACGAACCAGATGGGAGTTGTTTAATTTCAGATTTTTATATACATTTTTTGAAGTCTCAACTCCACCAAAAAGAAATTGTTTAATTTTTGATTCACCAATACACTTACAATTTAACCTTTGAGCAACATCATTACATAAATATGATTTCATAGAACCACTATCATAAATTGCTCGTTCAAATATTTCTTTAGAACCATTCTGAATTTTTACAATTAAAGTTTGAAGATATACATCTGATACCTTAACATAGTTATTAAGAATGCCTGTTTTGTTTTCGTCATTCCCTAACTTTGTGACACTTTTTGTTTTGTTAGAAGGCAAATCAGGGCACATAATCACAAAATGTCGATTTTTACATAAGGTACACCTATGTTTAGCTGTACACTGATTTGCTCTATGGTTTTTCTTAAGACACACAAAACAAACATTCTTTTTCTTAATGATATCTTTCTTACATTCTAAACTCATTAAAGATGCATCCTTACAACTTTCAGACAAATGGGATTTTTCACAAAAAATACAAGTATCAGACTTTTTATACTTTTGAAAATTTTCATTACACTATACTACTACTATTTGCATTAATTAGTTCACATGCAGTTGAAACAACAGGTTTTGTGTCAAAAAACTTATTTTTCTTATTACTTACTTTATCAGAACCCAAAACATCACGGGTAAGTTTAACTCTAAATTCAGTTTCTACTTCCCTTTTTAGAAAATCAATTAATGACTCCAAATCACTCTTACCTGTTGTTTCAGGAGACATACCTCGTTGTCTTTCCCAAATTTGTATTAAATCAGCAGGAAGTGCTGATTCCACTAAAGGAAATAAAACAACTGCAAATTTATCTTTAGTTAAACCGCGTGATTCCAATGCGCGTAGTTGAGTTTGCAACTTGTCATAAAGAGTTAATAAGTCTATCTTTTGTTTGTCATTGATTACCAGTTTTAATAGCTCTCTAACATAAATTTGAATTAAAACATTTTCATTTCCAAATCGTTCTTTGAGATACTCCACGGCTTTTTCGTAATTTTCTTCCGTAGCAGGAAAACTTTCCACTATTGCTCTTGGCACAGTCTCAGGTTTCGTAGATTGTAGTAGATAATGAAACTTGTCTCTCTTGTCGATGCGAGTATCTTCATGTATTTTACTAAACCTCGTCCAAAACGTCAACCACTTTCGGGAGTCTCCATCGAACTTCACCAGTTCGATCTTCGGCAGTTTCTGTTTTGTGGCCGTAACTATTCCTGATGAAGAGCCGCTATTTGTTGAACCAGCAGAAGGCTGTGAACACTTACTCTTTTTCCTGTTGGCTTTTACTTTCAACATAGATAATTTATCGTAATATTCTTGAGCTGCACTAAATTCTCTTTTGTATTTTTCTTGAGTACAACCTTTTTTCTGTAAAAGTCCAAAAAAGAGTCATCTGTATTTTGTAAAGTTTTATACCTCTCTGAAATTTGATCTAAATAAATGTCTAAATCATCCAAATCCGGAGAATCTGATCATATCAGTTCTTCCAACCTTATTAGCTGTTTTCGTAAATGCACTCCTAATTGCTTTTCCGCTTCTGTTTTAATGTTTCTAAATCCTCCATGTTTGCACCTAGGAACTTCTCTTATTTTCAGAAATTATCAAGTGTCGAAATCGATAATGTCACCCTGTGACATCAATTCTGGCTGGCTCGCCAAATTTGTTGCTTAACAAGTAATTTATAGGTTCGAAAATCTGAGCCGACACTTTTTAAAAACCAACATTTATTTTTCACGCCATTTCTTATTCTACAAAATCTTAAATGCAACTAACTATCAAACAGAAAAGCAGACGTAATGCATCTTTGCTGGATGCTGAATCTGGTTAAAAAATGTTGCCAAAGTCGAACCACAGGACTTGCATTTATCCATCTGGTTGCCTTCTGTCTGACTGTCCTGTGCCTCTTATTCTCTCAATAGCTCTCCATCACATTTCTTATGGCAAATGATACCTTAAGGTCATTATTAAAAGTTGGCTATCCCAGATTTTTGTCTCAATATCACTGCAAAATTTGTAGGCTTGCTCTCAAACATGCAATTTTTATGCTCCTCTGCAGATGATGTATCTTGACTGAAGCAATACTCAGCAACTCTTATTTGACAGCATACAGATTGACATATTTTTGAATGAGTTATTGCTATTTTTGTGATTTTTCCTTAATTTTTGGAAATTTATGTATACTGGTGAATTGGTGTATGGTGCAAGCAACTATGTGCTAAGGATACATACTTCACTGAATTATTCATATCTTTTAACACAAGTAGTTATGATTGTGAAAAAGCCAAACATTTCCTCATAATTTGAAGTACTTAAAAAAGGAAGCATTTTGTTTAAGGCTGAATGCTAACCTGTCCAACAGACAATGGCAGTTGTACAGTGACTTCTGTGTCAAATATGTTTTTGTATAGAAGTGAAATTACTTAATGAAATTGTATAAAGTGATGCATCATATTATTTTATTAAAGTTCTTTCAAGCTGTTGAAGTATTTTATCTTTATGATTTTTCTTCTCTTTTTAGTCGAGTGTGTGCCAATCACCATGGTATCATCAGAAAGTATGGATTAAATATGTGCAGGCGGTGTTTCAGGCAGTATGCTGGTGATATAGGATTTAAGAAGGTATCTGCAAATTTTTCTCATCTACACAATAATAATATTAAGAATTTGTTAATTTTTGTATATAGAGTTCAGTATGATTTCAAGCATGGCTGATGTCTAAATAATGCAGTTGGCTAGACTGGAGATTACGATCCAGTCGCCAAGTGAAGCGAAATTGCCCCCTCTTGGCTTAAAAACAAATACTTTCCGGTCTTTTATTGGCATTTACTGCATATTACAATTTCTTAAATTTCGTGATAAAATGCTTTACTGCATTTTGTTATTTATTGTCTTAAAAATGGTATATGATATTATAAAAACTTTTAATATTGTTGGGTACTATTCAGTTTCGAGGGCTGTAAAAAATCGACAAACTATTTTTGATGCTAATGCTGCCAAAAATAATTGCGGCAAGATAGGAAGTATAATAGTAAATAAATATCTAAGATTGATATTTTAATTTAGATGAAAGATTAATTTCATATAATACTTTTTTATTACAGTAAAATTCCAGAAATCCGCAAAGCTTGGGTCCAGAGGTTGTGCGGAATTTAGGATTTTGCGGATTTCGGGACAGAAGATAAAGCATAATATTCGGACTAAAAGTGCAAAATGAATAATGCGTATTAGATACATTTACTTAAATTATTATATACATTATTGCAATAATTTATTATACGCATTAAACTATTATTACATTTATAAATTGATTATATTATTCATAGTATTATGGATTCACAGCACTGAGGTTTGCCGATTTCGCCTCATGCAAAGATTTCCGGTTTCGGATTCCGGTGTTAGAATCACTGTTGCTGTAAAATTTCAACAGCTTTTCTTTATTTTTCCGTATATCATACACAATTGTGTCACAATTCCATACCATTCTGCTATAAATCGAGGAGTAGCACCTGCTTCCATCTTTTGCAGAATTTGCACTTTTTGCGTTACTGTGAATGCAATGTGTTTACGTTTTTCAACATTGCAAGCAGTAAAATTACGAGTGCGTTTTTTTATCTGTCATTGTATTAAAAAGGGCTGAAATTTAAAATATTCTTAATTTATCGACAAAATATTCCAGGATAAAAAAACCGAAAAAACTAAGCACAATCTCGTGAAATGAAATAACAAAGCTCAGAAAATACAACGTGAATCGTGAACTTTAACAAAGAGTTGAGTGAATCGTCTGCTTTTTTACCTCGATGCAGATTAGAAGGGAAAAAACTTATCTTATTTTTTAACGTTTTTATATCAATAATCGTTTTGACTCATCATTATTCGGTAATTAAGACGTCATTATTCGTTAAGTATTTTTTCTTCGATATTTTGTACTCAGTGTTGCGGTTTCTGGAACCTATAAACTAAATGTTTATATTATGAGAGGCAACGCGGATTTCAGGTCGGCGGATTTTTGGTATTTGACTGTATTATAATTTATATGAAAAAGGCTAAACATGACTGAATGGAAGCATAAGAGTAAATAACTATTTCAGATCATCATTATAATTTATATAAAAAAAAGCTAAACATAACTGAATGGATTCCTGCATCGCTATTTCGCTACCGACTTATCGCTAAAGCATAATTTCATCTCGTTGGTTGTTCAAACGTAATTTTCTATAATAAATGATACCTTTTATTTGAAAATATTCAGAATCGGAATTCAGAAGTACAGAATCGCTCACTTATTTGTTTGCCGCTTTTTACAAGGGTAAAAACAATTGGATTTTTGTCAATTTCATTTTACTTTTTAAGTGAAAATAGGTCGATGTGTACATAGATAAAGTCAAGGGGGTGTGCAGTGCCATTTTTGTGCAATTCTGGGATATTTTTTTTTAAAGTGAAAATAGGTTGATGTGCATATGAATACCGATTATGTGCAATTCTTAAAAACGTGTCAAGCAGTGAGCGATTCTGCACTTTACCCAAAATTCTCTTGTCGGCTTTTCATCATGGGCAATTCCGAAATTGTTAAATCCATAGGATATCAAAAAAGGATTTAAAAATTAATTTAGTATTTCAATGGTGTCTTAAGAAATGTAGAACTATATAAACTTTCGCAATCTGAAACCAGCACGTATGCTAGATTTGGCACTTCTGCGCATACATTTTCGCTGCAATTTTTTTACGGCCCTCAAAATAGAAGAGTACCTATTGTTGATCCTATAAAATACATAGTTATTAACTTTCAAATACGGTGGTTAAAGTGCAAAATCGCCCACTTATATGTTTGGTGCTTTTTACAAGAGTAAACAATTGGATTTTAGTAAATTTGTTTTGACTTTTTAAGTGAAGTCTCTTATACAGTATTGTATGTAAGAAATTATTTAAATTGTAAGTTATTTATTTTGAAGCTTGTCAGTTTCCTGATATTGAAATAAAGCAACATTACTGTAGAAGTTGTAAATTTAGAAATTGGTTTCTTTAAAATGAAATATATATATATAAAAAATCGGACACATAAGAAATCCTGCAAAAATTTTAGAATGTAACAGAATTTTAAATTAGCATTTTGTGTCAAATGAACATACAGGAAACAAGTTTATTTGTGTGCAACTACTTTGGCACAACTTGGAGATTTTTTCCAAATGTTGACGGTGAAAGTTGACCATTTTTGCCACTTGAAAAAATCCGGTTAAAGTTGGCGAATTTTGCGACTTTAAAAAATTATTTTCAAATTATTGATATCTATCATCAAACACTAAGAACATATTTAAAGAAACACATTTTAGCAATTTAAAATATAAATTTTAATTATTAAATAAAAATTGATACTTTAAAAAATAAAAGATTTACATTTTGTCAGTTTTTAGCTCTCGTGTAAATTAGCAATCTGTTATTTCTTTTACAAAAATCAGAGAAGTGTTTCTCGTTATTGTTCCATTTAGTGATTTTGTGGCAAAATACTGCATCTGCGCAGAAATTTTGTGATTTTCTTCCACTGCTGGCAGATTTCACAAGTGAATTTTAAAATTATGTTTAATTAAAAAATATTAAAATTTGTTTATAAAAAAACTTGGAATTTGGAATACAGCAAAGAGAATGCATACTACAAAAATGGCAACATTTCATTGAAGGATTGTGATGAGCATGTTTCCCTGAAGAAGGGTTATGCTCATGGTTTCAATATATGGCACATTCTGAAAATTTGGTGACTTCTACCAAGGTGGTTGCAATAATATGCGAGTATCAGAAGTTTAAATTGAAATATTTTTATCTTGTCAATTTCGGCTGATCTTCATTTAATGGTGACCAATGAAATTTGTTTTTAATCGTAAACCAAGTTAAGGTGGCTTTGATTATAGACCAGTCATTAATTTTATGATTAAAATTTAATTATAGATTTGTTAATATGTACTTTGTTAATTGGCTGTTGCATATCATGGATCATTTTATGGACTGTTTATGCATATTTTTCAAAATAAGATTTTTTTAGTTTAAATTTGGGAGTTGTGATATCTTATGCTGGATCAAGGAACTTCTTTTTTTTTTTCCTTTCTCTTTAAGGATGTAATTTATCATGAATAAATGCTGTGAGTGCTTGTTGCCGATTCTCTGTATAAATATAGCACACAACTATTGTTCTTGCTCCTTTAATTATATTGTCATCTAGCTTTGTAAACAAAAAGTGTGTATTTGTGCTCATTTTAGTACTTATTTATTATCTTGTCGACTGAAACTGTTGCTAAATCAAACTTCTTGGGTGCCAGTTATGGATAAACAGGACATAACAACACACTCGGTTGATTCTCAGTAAGCCATATTTTGTCTTTATGAACAAGGATCTAAATTAAATATTATTGCTCTAATTTTTCTTTCATTTTGAAAAAAAAAAATATTAAAAATTTATGGCCTGTCTTCCACTAAACAGCAAACAGTGGATTAGCTTCAAAATTATGAGATCCTACCATCAAAAAAAGCGTAAGTATTATTGGGCATGGTAAAGCTGAATATGGCCGACAAAACAGTAAGACTGCAATAATTGCCTGTGGGAGGTTTCTGCTCCTAGCATTCTAAATGTAAATTCTAATATAATCTGAAGACCTAACAAAAGAATAAAAATTGACAAAAGCTTTTTTATGAAATTCAAAAATGAAACTGGTCAAATATTGATTGTTTATTAAATACAAAATTGTTAGTTCCTTCAGAGTTAAGCAAGAACGACTGGGACAACTTTGTGGGATCTCTAATAACTTTTATGGTTAAATGGTAACCAACTTTCACGGTTGACAGATTAATATGCAAGTACCTCCATTTAATCTAACTACTGTTACAGTTTAATAAAAATATTCTTCTATAAATAAAAATACTATAAATTCTTATACTTCAAGCACCTTTAGTTTTGTATAAAAAATTCGGTGTTATGATATATAGTTAAACCCACTGTGATCTCCACTCATGTCTGGAAAAAGGAATATTGTAAAAAATTATCACTATAAAAAAGTATATTTAATGGAATTCATCATTTGGAGATTTTAACTGCTCCCAGTAATGAGCTTTTGTTATAACGAGTGCTAGTTTTTGGATTAAAAAAATCTTAGATATTTGAAGTTCTAGCCCTTCAGGGGTTAGGGACGTAAATTTCCATCTACTGAATCTATCTATTCCATCCAAGGATGTCTTTCCGATTCATTACACATGAAAATTTTTGCCAACTCCTGATGTACTCGATTTGAGGTTGGATATATAATTGCGAGAAAAAGTCAGGGTACAAAGGGAGAGGTTTATTTTGAAATTATAATTAAGAAAGTACCACTTATTCATGACATTTGTGGAATTTTGAAATGGCAGAGAAAAACCTGTAATGCTTGGTTAGATTGCTTGTTTTACTGTTTCAAATTTTTAAAGTTACTATTTTATATTGATTTCAGCATATAGTTTGTAATGTAGAACCCTTCCAGGATAGATGTAAGAAAATTCATTTGGGCGATTTCAGTTTTTTATATTTCCTTGGTGCAGTATGAACATTTCCTCTGCCATTCTTAAGAATGCTAAGTTATATTTTGCCATTGGGGCTTAAACTATAATATTAAGGGGTAGTAATAATAAATCATTTGGAGGCTTCTTGTATCTATTAGCCTGTAATGTACAGGGTCACAAATATATGTACTTCCTAATTGTATATGCATTTCAATACTTTTCCATTACGTAAGGTATGCATATATAAGTATGAATGTTTTTTCTTATATATTATGTTATGATGTAGTCGTGCTAATATTGAGGCATACTACTTCCAGATTTTATGTTAAATAATATATCAATGCATAATTTTCAAGAACATAATTCTAAATATAGATATTGATTTAACATAGATTTTTAACTTCAGTAAAATGATTAAATGCATTGAAAATGTAACCTGATAGCATCAAAAATTATTTTAATTACTAATAGCTAATCATTTTCCCTCGAATACTAGTTTAGTAAAAGCCAATTTTTCGGATTTGATTTATTGCATTAATGGTATCTACTGCACTGGTCTTTTATGGCTAGTGCAGTTCGAATGTAATGCTACAGAAACTGGTGAACATGCATCGTTGGAGGATAGCAATTTTTACCTATTCTCCTGGTTTTATAACCTTACAATAAAGTTTTGGATTTCTGTATATTTTGAAATGAAACTATATATATTGTCACTTTTTGTTGCAATATTTAAATAATTTACCATTGACTAATATATGGCATAAATACCCATATCATATTTCGTATTTTTCATTTCTGGCATGTGCAAATCTTGCAATTTCTGTGCATTCACTGTATTTTTCAAGTAATTAACAATAATTAAGCATATACCCAAAATTTTTACATAAGAAATATGTGTAAATATAATTTGAATGGGAATTACATGCATTATTTTTAATAGCCACTCAAAGGTCAGTTTTTCTTCAAAATTCCTTCACGATGGGATTTCTTCTTTTAGGCAGATAGCCCTTGCATGCTTTACTCTATTTAATAAAAAATTAACCTGACATATGTTCCTAATTACAAATATTTTAACATGTATAACTTTACATTTAGCCATAACGTTTTAAACTTTTGACTTAAAACATGTTTTAGGATACATTGATTATCAAATTTAAATCTTCTTGTAAATGTATTTTGGCAGAACACTTAGTACCTCTTTTATAGATTTAACCCAGTTTAATAATTCTCTAATAATATAATAAATAATAACTATCCATTTCACACTTAAATATTAATCCCATTGTCATCAATCAGATCACAATCTTGATTGCCACTCTGCATAAAATTGCTTCATTCGCCGAATTCGCAAATGTATCCGTGGCAAATCTGTATGCATCTGTCGCAAATGTATATATACAAATTCTTTATTCATTAATAATATAGATTATATCTTTTAAATAAAATTATCTTTTGGATGAAAATATATACAGTTAGGAATCCTATGAATAATAAATGTTCAATTAACACATTAACATTTTATGTGCCAAGCCCCTTTTTTCCCTTTTGGTGGACATTATGCAATGATGAATACTGTCATTATATATAATTTCAGCATTCTCAGAAGGAATTAACAGTTTGTCAAACTAATTATTAAACTCGAGGAAATCCTGTAGTAATGTAAAGATTGCAAATTACTCTATAGAAGTGGTAAAGCTAGAAATGTTTTGACTACAGTATAGAATATGTAATGATTATGTTATGTTAGACTGTGCAGTAAGTAGTCCTAGATATTGTAATAGAAACCAACATCATAGGTTTAACAGATTCTTTAAAAATTGTATTATTACGCTATATCATTAAATTTTATTATTACTGTACATTATTTGTTATTAAGTATTAAAATATTCAAAATAAATAAACCAGCTGTCTCCCCAATCCGTTAAAACCCTATTTCAATTAATCAGTTTTTTTTAATTGATCAGATTGTGTTTTAATCTTTTAATTTTGATAGATTGTGTTTTAATCTTTTAATTTTGATTGAGATAAGCTTTAAACATTTTAATTCTGCATTTTCTAAGACCATGTGTGCAACAGTTAATATAAATATATATACATTGTGCGATGATGAATTAGCCATGCTAATACTGAGGCATGCAACTTTCAAATTTTGCGTGTCATTGAGTTTAACAAAAAATCTGAGCACAAAAAGTTAAAAATGTAATATTAAGTATGAACCTGATTGAATATAAAAATCATATTAATTATTTTATTTGCTATATTTTAATCAGCCTATCAGGTTTTATTTGATTAAAAAGAGTAATTGATGCATAAAAACCCCAACAACTTTCAGTTTAGTGATTATTTATGGACCAGAAGGAGCAATGACTTATAATTAAAAAATATTATTTTAGGTGTGTTCTTATCATTTCATCCATATTTTGTATTTTAATAAGTTATTCCAAAAATCAATCACTAAACCTACTTATAAGTGCTTTTTGGTGTTTTGTAAATAACAAAAAAAAAAATTTAATAAATTCAAAACTGTTTTGTTTGACAGTTTTACAGCAAAATGTTCTACTCTTGCAAGAGTTTTAACTACACTTTATTCACCTTCAGACAAATCTTACAAGTGCGTCTTAAAAAATTTAAAAGTCGCAGTTTGTGTATGAAAATTGTTGGAACTTAAAAAAAAAAAAAAAAAAAAAAAAAAAATATGAGATTGAGAAACTTGTGAAAGTGGTGCCATTCTTTTGTTAACACTGAAAAATTGTTGTGGATACCAGAAATAAATGCAGTCTGAAAATTTGGCTACATTTGTTAAGATTATTGATAATATGAAAGTATTGAATCACTATTAATATAAAAATTTCTTTATTAAAAAGGATTTTTTATGTTTCTTATTAGCTAGTTAAAAGGGAAAAGTTACAGAATTTTTTCAAGAAAACTACGTAAATGCTGTTGTCTGATTTGAGCTCATGAATGTTTTTTCTGACTATCTGTATCTCCACAAAGAGTTGCCAATGTATTAGTTCAAAGCATACATTCAACTATATGGCTCATATTAACTGCACAGCTCAATTATAGTTAGTTACGACCCAAAAATGCTGTTTGGAGAGAACACTAATCAACTAAATATAAAACATATAAATCCATATGTAAAATAAGCACATGCATGGAGTGGTGTTTTCATGTGTATGCCTGAAAATATGTTTTATTGAGTGAGGCTGCTGATAATCAGAAAGTACTTTCAGTGGTCTGCTGCAAGATGAAAATTATGAATGTCTGCAGTAGAGTAATGTAAATCCATACCTACCTTGAGTGCATAAGAGAATTAAATGTTTATTAAGGAATATGGCAATGTTTATTTTTATCGAGTGTTTTCAAAATTTTTCCTGTGCGCAGAAAGTTAACAAGACTATTTTTATTTCACTGCAATTTATTTTTTAATCTCTTCAATTTCAGTTGTCAGAGAAGATTTGTAATATTTGATATGGCATGATATTTGTTAACATTAGATTTAATATAACTAGAAGCTATAATGCAAACTTTAAAACTTAGATGAAGTGTGATTCTTTTTTAAATTGTGGATTTTGAACAACCTGATTCTGATATATATATTTAGTTATAAATGCTTAGTTGTTATTTAACTAATATTATATATTAGTTTTATATATTTTTAATTGCTGCCAAGTGATCTGTTTTTTATTAATGCATATTTTAAGATTATTCCTTGCATTAATGGTATCTACTGCACTGGTTTCTTCTGTGGCCATTGCAGTTCGAATCTAATGCTATAAAAATTGGTGAAATGCATCGTTGGAGGATAGCAATTTCTACCTACTCTCCTGGTTTTATAGCCATACAGTATAAGTACAAATTTTGATGCTTTGATTTTCCTACATGTTAGGTAGAAAAAATATTTATTATTCTTTGCTTGATCAGAATTTTAATTGCATTTCGGGTGTTTCCTGTGTTAGTTTTGATAAAATCCTTTATAAGTGTTGTTGTATGCTTATTTTAAGCAGCTTATAAAATATAGTCTCTTCTGCAAAATATTCGTGAATTTGATACCTTTATAAAAATTTAAAGAATTCTCAAGTTATGTCTGAATGGCGAAAAATAGTTTTATAAAATGTGGTAAATTTTGTTTCACTTTGTTTTAGTTCTTAAAGAAATTAATTCTTTTTCCTGTTTAATTATAATTAAAATTGTATGTTATGCTTGTCTGTTCTACTCTGTGTCAAATATTAATTAATCATTCTGAATTTGTAGTTTACTGTTTCTATTAAATTTCTTATGTACCAAAATTCAAACAAAAGCAGGGAAATTCCAGCTATTCCTATGTTTAAATTGCTGAGTTTACTTAGAATGCTATTTTAGTGTGCCACTTAATGTGATCTCGGTTAATTATTATTATTTTTTAAAATTTCGAATGGCAGGCACTAGCCATTGTAGGCTTTAGCCAGTACTAAGGCTGGAAGCAGTGGTCACTTTATTATGGAAGCACCTAATGGGTGAGCCGTCGTCGTTGCCTTCTGTGAAGGTATGCCTTTGCCTGGATTTGAACCCAGGTTCTACATAAGGCAATGTAATAACTTTCCCATTTCAGCAGCTGTACCATTCGGATATTGTTATTAAATTACTTAAGTCCTGCCTGATTGAGTGTGAAAACAGGAAAAATACATCACTTATTACGATCAGTAAGTCAGTTAATGTTATCAAAATATTATAGAACGGATTTTTTAAAAATCTGAATTAAAATCATCAGATAAAGGACTAAGTGCCAGACAGCATTATTTTGATTAAAGGCAACCAACCATGTATGTACAAAGGAATTCATTTCAGTTTTACTTACCGGAATTTGCGAATAAGGAAGTGATATTGTAGATGAGCTTGCTTTTTCCCGGCATATCTTTCGCTAGTTTAGATCTTAATAATTTTTACAAATATTTCTAAGAAAATATTAATTTTTTATTGTGTTCAGGAATTTTATGAAGTTTTATCAAAAGGCATAGTTATCTAAGCATAAATCGATTTGTTAGACTCCTGTGACCAACTCCCAAAACTGATGGAACTGCTGGAATGCTGCTCTCAAGTTAAATACAGTCAAAAGTCGTTAATCCGGACTCGTCGGGACTTCGGCGATTCCGGATTATCGATTTTTCCGGATTATAGATCATCAGTTTAAATCTGGTAAGATGGCATGTAGAAATTACAAAATTAAAAATATAAAACCGTAATTTATGAAATAAAGAACAATTATGAACTAAAGGGTATCAAAATTTACAAAAAGAAAAAGCTTAATATTTATTTGTTTACTTTATTAAACATTTCCTTCAACGTAAGTTGCTTCGTTTCATGTGATAATACTTTCTCTTTAATTCTATTAAACAGAAATAATTTCTTGTTTAGTTACAAAGTTCCGCTGTCCAAGTCCTATAATTGCTGTGTTGAGAATACCGACTAATTTGTCAATCGAAATGTTTTCGTTTTCAATAACCTCTGGGTCACTTTCTTCACTATCAGAAGCGAATTATAATGAATTATAATGACGAGGAACTTGATTTTATCATATCAAAGACTGAGATAAAATACTACACTTAGTACGGAATTATAAACCAAATATTAAAACATCGCCCTGAAGATAAGGATAGTGCTGACAGATACTTCCAATCCGCGTGTGAAATGATACAAGATTTCGGATTCAAAACGATACTTTCGCTTGTATAAATTAATATAGTAATATAATCGGAATTCTTTTCACATAATCTTTCTATCTATCATAATTTAATATGACGTTCTATACTTCGCTTTGGTAAATATATCGAAATTCAATTGACATAATCGAAAGTCACTTATTTAAAAATTGCTCTAACAGTCTGCAAAAAAATATAAACCGGATCCAATCGGAGATAAGAACAACTCATCTGACAACATTACGATTAATAACTTTAGCTTAGCGTATACTGTTCAAGTAACGAGCAATACGCATAAACCTGCGCACAAACATATTCCAGCCGAAGAAGTCTTACGCGCTCTCGTAACGCCTGTGCGCATGGTAAACGCGACCATGCCAAGGAAGTTTGCTACTTTTGAGGGTCCCGGATTATGGGTGTCCGAATTAACGACTTTTGACTGTATTGCTCAATCCATCTTACAAAATGTTGACAAATCATGGGGATATTTAAAATTAAAGCAAAATTGAACTGAAAACATAAATGGATGCTTAATGGGAAAAATCACAGTATTGAGAAAGCATTAGAGATTTGGTTTACAAAGGTTCATTGAAAAGATGTGAGTCTGTTGATTTACCTGCTGCAAGAACATGGTTGTCGAATTAATGGCTTAAATTGAGTACAACGTAATGTCCTGAAAACTTTTATAATACCAAAGAAAAATAGCTATAATATCGGGCATTGCCTCAGCATATGTATTTATGACTGAAAAATTAAAAGGAAATAGCAAAAGATCATTTGATGCTGTGTCAGTATATGTGGTAAAAAGGATAACTATTAGTAAAATCCCCTATGCTTTAAAGGAGTAAAGAGTTAACCAATGGTAACCAATGGTAGTGTGTGTAATTTGAAAGTGTATGATGTCAGTAATTATTAATGCATGGTCTCTGAAATGGAATAACTGAATACAAAATGATATTCTCCTTATGAAAACTGCATAAATTCTTAAGGTAAATGTGGCTCTTAAATATATTGAAGGTGTATATTGGTCTGTAAATTCCACAGCTTTAATTTAGTCGCCTTGATCGAGGGATTGTTAGTGTTTAAAGAATATTATCAGCATGTGATAGCAGTGGTAATATGTGAGTGCAATTGAATTATGAAGGAAAAACTAGCCCTTATGGTGCATTGCATTTGCTGAACACATCTTGGGATCATGTTTAAGACATTAAACAGCTGTTTAAACTTTCCAAATCTTTTAATAAATGATGAAATGAATGAAGTTGCAGAACTAAACATCTCCAACTACCCTATATTGTGAGAAATTTAATGTGTACATGGATATTTATGGAAGACCTTAAGTTGTAGCATCAGTTACAGAAGATAGCTAGCTGCTAGTCACTTTTTGAAACAAATCAAAATACATTGTGTGATAAAATGTCTGAATATAACATTGAAGTCAGCTTCTTACGAATAACAAGATTAGGGATGCTGTACAGGTGTTCAAATTAGGGTTGCAGCATCTGTCTAATAATTTCCAGAAACATGGTTATGAATGTGTGCATAAGAATTTCAAACAGTCAACTCTTATTTTTTCTCTAAACAAAATACTGTAAAAGTAAATATTTATTTGTTTCTAATTATTACTCCAAAGAAGAGGTAGCCGCAAGGGCTAGTAGTCTCAAAACTGCATTTTTCTCACTATAAATAGTGTATAACTTTAAACTGTTGCTACCAAATACATTGGTTATCATCAATTAAGGAAAAATCACAAAAATAGTGATAACTCCCCCAAAAATAAGCCAAACCGTGTAAAATTTGAATATTGCCAATAATAGTACTGAGTAAAACTGCAATATGCAAATTAGTGGCACTGCATTCAGAATACGTCATCTGCGAGCCGCATAAAAGTCTATGATTGAGAGCAAGCCTACATATTTCATTGTGATAGTGACATCAGAAATCTGAGATAGCCAATTTGTTACAAAAGTATTCTATAAAATATATCGCATAAAAAAATTAAAGAATTTGATTTGTTTTTATTTTATTGTAATATTAAATATATTTTGCAGTTTTAATAATAGTTCATGTTCTAAGCATAGATTTCTTTTTTATTTCAGCTGGATTAAATCATAAGATCATACCCAAGATATGAAGTTTATGATCAAGATGCAAACTTTAAAGAATTGAAATCTTGTATAAAAGCATATTGATAATAAATGATATACTTGGGTGTTTTTGTTTCTTGGTGATTTTTAAAGACTTGTTTCACTAATCATTTGATGAATGACATCACAGCTTGCAACTACTGTATTAAATGTTATGATTAGTTGCAGTATTGCTGAACCTTTAATATTCCAGTTGCCTGAAAATTTTATGATATCTAGTGTAAGCATCTTATGTTCACCAATGATCAAGTAAAGTCAGTAGTGTCAGGTTATTAAAAATGCTATTTTTGAAATGCTTTGATGTATTTTGGGCACATGAAAAGCTATTCCAGTGTACCTTCTTTAGCATGCAGCTATGTTGATCAAATCTGCATAGTAAAAATAATTTGGCAATATAACCTTACAGTATGACAAGGAAAACATTGTGTCTCGTGTTTTTGCAGTACTTAAAAAAATTAGACTTTTTCCATACTAAAGAAATGTATTAATTTTGAGATTTGATCTCCAAAATCTTCTCAAGACGTAGCTGTATTTTGTTATTTTGAATTTAGTAAATTTTGCAACCGTATTCTTCAGGAAAATAATATTCAGAAAAGTGAGATTTATCAGCATTCTAAATAATCTCATTGTGGACATTTCTGTCTTTGTTATTACTCAATTATTTATTTATCCTGAATTTTTTTTTTTTTTTTTTTTTTTTTTTTTTGCATGTGACTTTGCTTTTATGTTTCTTTGGAACTCTAGTAAAATTTTCATCTTTCCATTGATTGATTATGCTGAAATATTCTTTTCATGTTAATTGTCTTGCTCTTCCTATTTATGCAAGGATTGTTTTTGTGATTTTATTTAACTTCTTGGATATTGATTTCTTTCGGGAGAAAAAAAAAATCAGCATATAAAAACCCATAATTGCGTTTCAAATTATGATGTATTACAAACATAACCCAGTTGTTACAGCTTTAACCCAAAAAGATTATCTGAAAACTGGAGTTTATGAGATGTTTTATTGGAAAGATTTTTAAGATGCAGGTTGATTATAATTAAAGTTAGGATTTCAAAACACTCTACATTAAAAATCTACCAGTCAGCATGATTTGATATTTGGATAGAACAGTTGTGAGGCTATGGAATTTTGTTAGGTAAAGGAAAAATGTAGTTCCAAAAAGTGCTGTCAGGATCGGATTTAGATTTGACGAGATGCTAAGCTATTTGAGATAGGAGGCCCTTTATGAGGGATATATGTCGATTTTTTATATGGTATAATTTTTGTGGGTGACCCCAAGTGGGCACAACAAGAAAGCGGGGGCTCTAAGCTATAGTTTGTACAATGTACACGTAAATCCGGCATTGGGTGCTGTCAGCGTAATACCAGGGGAAAGGCCTAAATGGATTCGTTAAACACAGGAGTGTTGTTAGCCAAAAGGAAACAACAGACTCCAAGGGTATATGACAAATTTATTAGCAAAAAGACAAGAATACATATTTACAGCGAAAATAGTTATGTGACAAAAGAAAAAGAGCTACATGAAACTTATATAGACTAACACGCAAGTTCGAAAACCTCGGCCTTGTTCCGCTGCTAGTTGGAAGTGCAAAACTACATATTCCATGACAGATAGAAAAAAGACTATTTTACTGTATATAGCAGAGGTTCCCAGACATTTTTTGTTATAGACCACTTTCAAAATTTAGCTGGTTCTGGTGGACCTACTGCAGTTGCATTTCTACCATATTTCCAAAACTGGACAAAAAATGTGAAGTTTAGGTCTAAGTATAGAAATTTGCATTGCACCTGAGTTCCAACCACAAATTAATAGTTTTCGAAAAAAAGTGTGAATTGATTGTGCTGTGAGTGGATGTCAAAAAATTAAAGTTGGCCAATCAAAAAAGTGATTCCATCCAACTTTACTTTTTTGACATCTACTCACAGCACAAGGAACCAATCAATTCTCACTTATTTCATTTAGAAAACTCCCCATCTGGAGTGGTAAAAAGAAAAAAAGTATATTTTTGTGTTGTTTTTATTCAAAAATGTAATTATTACAATATTAATTATTATTGTTATGATATTACATTGTAATATGATAACAGTTGTAATATAATTAAACATTAATAATGTAACTTCTACAATGACAATCACAAAATAGTCATAATTTTAATAGGAGGGATTTACTTGATGGATTCACAGCAAATTATCAATATTTGGCTTCTGTTTTGTTAGGAATAATTACAAATGTCCCTGCTCCGTGATATTCAATTTACTTTTTTTTTTTTTTTTTTTTTTGTTGTTGTTGTTAAAAGGATTGTAAGGACACTAAAACTTTTTTCGACAAGATGTGATGAGGGCAACGCTATCAAAAGCTTTATTGCGATTCCCCACAGTCCAGGGTATTTCTGCCTGCAGCCAAAATGTTTGATACCCTCTTTTAAATTTCACCTTCAGCTCTTCATTAGTGCTAAGCTCGAGTAGCTCCTCTTGCAATAGCACATTCTCCACTTCCATTTCATCAAATGGATTTATGATCCATGGTGATATTTCTATCGTCAGAATATCTTCTAATCTGATTTTGAAGCCATCATGCAGGGCAATTTAATGTTGAACGTATGTTTGAATATCCTCATCAAGGGATTCTACCTGTGACAAGTTTGAAAATTGGGAAAATGCGTGCCGACTAATATTTTGCTTCATAAATTTCAACAGGGTTCGTAGCGGTCCTTACAAGTGCTTATAAGTCCTTATATTTGAAAATAAAATATAAAGGCCCTAGGTGCTTACTTTTTCCTTAAAGACCTTATTTTTTGTTTTTAGTGCTTATTTTTTGCTTTAGTGCTTTTTTTTTAATGAACCGCTATTTTTCCCGTACCAAAGCCGAAACTAAATAACAATTTTCTTCTAATATGGAATGTCAGATGGTGAGTCTACTCCCGGAAATAAGCTTTTCCCCTTTCTCGCATTAACATAACCTTTGGTGCACGAGAGTATACGGTGCTCGTCGTTCTGTTGGTCGAATTTGCGAAAGCAGTAGAAAAATCCCTCATTCGGCATCCTTTCTCCCACCAAGTACTACACACGTTTGAATTTTATCAGATCTTAAATTGCATTCTCGTTCTGCGTGGTAGTCTATTGTTTTATGTGATCGTTAGCTTATAGTATGAGCATTGTATGATGTTTATAATAACATAGTGGCAGTACTGCTGAAGTATAGTAAACTTCCAAAATGGTTGTTTTAACACAGATTAGCTTTTAAGGAATAATATTCGGATGGCTTAAATAAAGGGAAAGTAATCGAAAGTCAAAATAGTTTCATTTTTTGGCCAATGCTTATACAGTACGAATTGGAGGTCCCCCTTTCTCCCAAAATCTTGAATATTGAAAACTGTTACAGTTCGCTGCAAAACAAGCAACGGAGCTTTTTTTTTGGGGGTCACTTTCTGATCTGGATTGAATAGGACTAAAAGTTCTGCGGTCTAACGAAGCGAAGATATTCTATTCCGGAAATTTAACGCCGTCTGTTGAAAATAGAATGAAAACACCCCAGTTATTTAGTTCTTTATTCTCCCAATACCAGCAGCTGTTGAATTCCAATTGCGTAATATCATGCAGGGAAGAATTACGGTGCACGTTTTGTGCAATAACATTTGCGATTTTTGCAGAGATAATTAATTTTGATGTTCGTCCGAGATTTGTTTATGACACTTAAAGAGTTTTACTGTGCTTGCTAAGCGGAATATTTTTCTGTTCCGTTGGTTTGTTTTTATATGATGCACATATAGAAATGTCAAAAGCATATTATTTAGTGGAAAAATCTAAAGAACGGCTACAGTCTATCCTTCCCCTCCGCTCCTCTTTTATAAGTTACGCTCGACTGTCCGAATATTCGCCAACTTTCAAGTTATGCGGGTTAGTTGAGCTTTTACTGTTAAAGATGACTGCATGAAGCAAATTTCTGTCTTGTGATTTCAGAAATGTTCCTTTTTTTTTACT